CTGCTTTCGGCTTTTGAAATTTTGAAAGTGGGCAATGCGGCGATGACCTTCAGGTAAGCAGAGCACAAAATTGTCAAAGGATTGGTGGTGTGGGCGCCTGGAAATTAAAAGCCTCGGGCGAAAACGGGGACACAATTGGTTCTGGCTCGTCGAGTCCTGGGATTGAAAAGGGTTGCAAGTCAAGGGCCATCGAAGCCCCACAGAATTGACTCCACTCCATCGAGTGGAGAAGGAGGAGAGACCAGTAGATGTACTAGAAAGGTTCCTCCCTGCCAGCTTAAGCTTAGGCCAGGGGATGTGCACTCCGAATTCCCCTCATAAATCAGAGCTCGATTCATGCAAATTGCTTGCTCACTGCCTAATGCGTCCGAGCACGTAGCTGATTACAGGAAACCGGCCAGGATCGAACGATGCCCAATTTGGTGGCCATTTTCGAGCAGGCTGGGTCTGCAGTTAAAGCCCAAAATTGCTCAATTTTCACACTGGACCAAAACCAAAAAAAAAACAAGAGCAGAGAAGCCAACATGGAGCGGAATCAATTGTCCTACTCCGCAGACCGAGGAGGGAGATGAAACTTTCGGCAAATGGCAGCTCATTTTGTATTTATCAAAGGAGCCGATGGGGAGGCAGGAGCCACGTCTGGCCTGATGGCGGCATAAACTTTTATTTCAATGAGAGCCATGAGCAGTTACGCCATTCCACCGCACACTGGTCAAAATGGAGGGTTTTCCCGTCCATAAACACAGCATTTTCATGTACCTATCTGTTTTGATTTCACCCATCGGTCTACAGCAATTTATAGTTTGTGAGAAATCAGTAATTTCGTTAAGAACTTTAATTGAATTACAGAATTAAATTACTACTTACTCTCTTCCATAATTACAATAACTTTGTAGGGAAAAACACTTGGCTTGTATTGGCATTCAAGTAACTTTAACCAATATGGGCCCAGAAATTTGCAATACATAAATGCAATCATTTCAGGCTGCTTTGTAATATTTAATATAACGTAAAATTACTTAAATGGAATTTGAAATATTTACATCAAGACTTACTCAACCGTACTATTGACTAGTAAAATACTTCAAATGGCATTCCAATATTGGCCACAGCACCTAATCATGCGCGTAAAACTGTATTTAAATATGGCAAAATTGAACGTATACGTAATGTTTTAATATTTACTACAAAAAATTACTCAGCCGACATGTGGGTTTTAAAACCATGATGAAAACGAAACAAAAAAATGTGAAAATTCACCCCAGTGTGCGACACACCAGTCCCAGCTGTATACAAAAAAAAAAAACAAAAAAAAAAATATGAAACACACTTAATACACACCCACACACACACACAGTCTGGCTTTCTCGCCATTTCCGGTGGTGCTGCTGAAGAGAAGAAAACAAGAGAAGAAAATGGGGGAAAAACAAAACCGGCAAGTTGTGTGGCATACTTCTCGGCACAGTTTTCCTTGGCATACAAATGCAGGTAATAACGACTGGGAAAACTAACTCCGGGAGGAGGCTGGCATTTGCAAATGAAACGCGACTGTTCTAATTTTGGCCCAGGCCGGAATTCGGTCTGTTTTTGTTCTGTTTTCCCCCTTAAATATTTATACAAAAAATGAGCAGCTAAGCGGGCACACACAATGACATGTGCACACACACAGCAACACACTTGAATTGCTGCAGCGGATCCATTATTAATGCTCCCCATACGTTTCAGTTTCAGTTCAGCCCGTTCCATGTTTGTTCCTTTTCTGCTGAATCTGCTGACTCGGTTTTCCGCTCCATGTTTGCCCAGGACCCCGTAACCCCGGGACCTTGGCCTGCCTTCGTCCTTTTTGTGGCTTCTGGCGGCACTGTTCCGTTTCTGCCTGTTGCGGCCTTTGGCTTATTATCATTTATTTATTTATTTATGTCTAGCGCGTCAGAGGCAATATTTTATTTTCATTTTAGTTTGCGGATGCGGATGCCGGCCACTCGTTCGATTGTGCGAATCACCAAGGGTCAGAGGTTAAGGCTATTTGGCACCCGAGCTGGGACCCATTAATAAACTTGCCAAGCAAATATTGCAATATCCAAGTCCAGAGATTGCCACGATAATGCGTTCATTGAATTGTGAATGGTATACGGTGTGCCCTCCATCAAAGTGAAATGTTTGATATACGAAAGTAATATAAATTCCAATTTGTTCAATTAACTAGAATGATGTATTTTTCATTAACAAATTTCACATGACTAATTGTTCAAAATATTAAATTGAAAGTTTAATTAAATAGTAGAGCTTAATTACAGTACAATTTGTACAGCAGCTATTCGTGTTATAGGAATTTTTTCAATTAAATAATAATAAGGTCACCCCCAGCTGGAAAGGTTGTTCAATGCATTAACAATTTAGTAACTCTTTATGTCGTATCGATTGAATATGAAATACCAAAGGAATGCCGGCTGCATTGCAAAAGTTTCAACCGGACAGCCAGCGTTGAAAGGGTCCTTGTGCCTGGCGTTAATATTTTACAGGATATCGATGGCACCGAACGACAGCTAGCTAGCTCCGAGCATTTCTTATTCAATGCAACTCAGTTGCCCTGCCACTTCCCGTTGTCCCCTAATGGGAGCCATTTGACACCCGCAGGAGCCGAGATAGCCGAGATAGCCGAGGAAACTCAGCCAGGACAGGACATCCACTACCACTCACGGTGGCATGGAAGGCTCGATAGAAGAGTAATGCCACTGCCAACACAACAAGAAATTGTGTTTGCCCAGGGGCCATTAATATCCCCCAACCACCACCACTCAGACCTCTAATATCTACTTCCCTCCGTACCCCCAAGGACACTTTGTTATTTGACAGTTTTGACGAAACGCTGGCCTAAAACGACGGAAATTGACTAATAATGGGGTTAATCGCCAATAACGATCATTCCCAGAAAAGGTAAATTGTCTGTTCGACGTGAATGCAGTGCTCCCGCCCCAGCCCCAGGCTATTAGGCATGTGTTAAAGCATGGAATTACTCGTGTTTACCCAGTAATCGTAGCTTACCAGGGTGTATATCATATTGCACAATGCTAGTTGAGGGGGCTTTGGCGAAATGCTAGAATCGGGGACAGAATATGGAAAAAGAGGCAGGAATATGTTGAAATTGTATCAGCAAAGTAGGAGTTTTAAATGTCCGTAGAATGGAATACTCTGAAAATTTATTTTCCATACTCTGAGAGCATATATAAAATAAACTTGTTTAATGACATGCAATGTCAAGCATATTAATTATACATAACATTTCACCAAAATGTACTTATTTTAATATGCATAAAGTGGAATACATAGTCTAATTTCCTATTAAGAATACATGCTTCACAGGATGCCATAAATTGAAATGAATGTTTTTACTTTTTCCACGCTTTATTCTTAATTATATACATTTTGTGATGTTTTTTGAATAAATTAAATAATGTAATTAAACATATTCATGATAATTACGAATGACTTATCCCACTTTAACATTAAATTACTGTCAAGTGTATTGATTTTAAAATGTAATCGCACATTTCTAATGCCCTTGCACACTTTACCCAACAATGACGTATTATTTTTCCAAAAACTTAATAATTAGTTTATCGACATATTCCACGATATAGAAATACAATGAATAATAGTTCCAACTAATTAGCCACCATAAATAGCCATAGAATAATGAGTGTAGATAAGCTTATTGTTTTTAATGGGTTTTCCTCTAATTTCGAGCTCATGAAAATCCTAATTATTATTTATTTTGACAACAGTATTGCGTTTCCCCCTTTTCCCTCGAATGGGAAACATATTAATCTAGATTTTATGATCAAAAAGCTGACCGCTAGCATAAAGAAGTGCTTTAAGCGGATATCCTTTCGTCGGCAGACTGGCTTAATGGCTTAAACACCGTTTTGGCCTGGTCGTATAATTTTCACATCATTGAGAACGTTTTGACTTGCCAGCGAGCCAGCTGACGGGAAATGCGACGGGGACCATGCTCATTAAGCTTAATTCGTTGGGAATCAAATATTTAAGAGATAACCCGGATTGAGGCCTGGCCAACAGGAACACGTGTGTGTGCTGCCAAGGCTGATTGAAACTGACACTCCTGGCACCTCGCAGCACTCGGAGTCCAGCTGGGAATAGGGGGAGCTCTGTGGACGCAATATAAAATGGTCAGGACCACGTCCTGGGTCCTTCGCTGCGCTCTGTCCTAACGAGCAATTTAGCCAACTCATTGAAGCGGAATTAATGGCAATCGATTTTGTTTGGCGGTTGGTAGACGGTTGGGACGACTGCCAAAGGGCGGAAAAGTGGCGCAGGGAAAGGGTCTTCATTAGTGGCAGGCCAGCAGCAGCAGGATTCCGACAGGACATGCCCCACTGCCCACTTTCAAGTCGATGTTTGTCTTAAAGCGCGGTCTCAATCATTTTAAAACGCTTTAAGTCTGTCTAATCTGTTTTATGCTGATGGCAATAGATGGAATTAATAAAACTGATGTTATGCTTTATAAGTACTTTGACGTCGAATTTGAATGAGGGGAATGGTATTTACACTCTTACATTTAATCAATAATTTATCCACAATCTATTCTCTATATTGCCTTAAATTCTTGGAATTAATAAAGTTGACACACTCACTTGCGGGACACAAAGAGCGCTTTCTGCAATTTAAAACTTGCAAATAACACAAAGTCCTCCCTCCCCCCTTCTCAGAAATGCCGCAGAAATATTTTGGGCAAATGTTTCAATCAACAAACTCAGTCAAATGTTAACACTTGCTGACTTGTCCAACTTATGCTGGTTTCGCATACATAGTATATATGGTGTATATGGACTTATCCCTTGCCTGATCATCAGATGAAACTTTCCCTGCCTCGTGTGGGTTGCTTTTTTATTACGTTTGGGGTTATGCAAAAAGTTTACCCCAACCGCAGAAGACCAGCCATAAATACAATTTTTGCTCTTTTCAATTTTTATTCGCAGCTGAATCGAGAAGGATAAACTTTTGGCCCGCTATGCCCAGGAATCGTGCGGGTCCGGTTCCGAGCAGTGTGGAGCGCGGCTGCAGATAGATATACGGATACGAGGGGAGTTACAGATACAGATACAGATACAGATACAGATTCAGAGACAGATACAGAGACAGGTTCAGATACGTAAACAAGTACAGATACATTCGCTGCCGCTCAAGTTGAACATGTGCCAAGGCTGCGGGCTGCTTGTAGCTGATTCTGGTAAAACCGCGGCGAGGGCGACGATGCTGCTGCTTGATTTTGGCCAAGTTAAATAAACAAGCGGGCCACAACCCACACTCACTCACACCCAACACAGTTACTCCCACCCACTGAATAGCAAACACAGCCAAGTCCTTGGAAGGCAGCAAGCATCATGGCGGCGCCCATCGACGAGAGTGTCCTGAATGCACTAAGGGGCGTCACCTCCACGAACACCCGCCTGCCCAAGCCACTGCTCATCAAGATCTACGTGGCCAGCCTGAAGCAGGAGTTCAACCAGGAGCGTCGCATGCTCCTCGAGCTGGTGGGTCCCGAGCTGCAGACCCTCTACGATGACAGGCAGATTGAGGTGAGAACAATTATTAGACTGTTTCCCTTGAAAGATAAATATATATGGGGACCATCTTTTGCTCCAGCTCGAGTTCGTGGACATGCACTTTGGCACTGGCGACCTGAGTGTCAATCAGTTGGAGCGGGATCCCTATATGATCCATGACTATCTGCATGAGATCGACATCTGCCATGCCCACACGAAGAGTGTCTTCTTCATGGTCCTGGTGGGCGATGGCATCGGTAAGCTGCTCTTGCCCACACACCTGGACGAGGACATCTTTGCCGCCGTCCTGGCAGATCCGGAGACTTCCGCTGACCAGGAGGCGCTGCTGGTTAAATGGTACGAGAAGGATGCCACTGATACCCAGCGCCAGCTCAAGCAGGATTATCGGTGAGTGAATAAGGACACGAAAACTCAACTTAAGAAGAACTTTTAATCTCAAAAACTAATAAACTCAACTGAACACTCGAGTGATTTTTGATAATAATACATTATTTTTGACCCGGCTCTGCTTTTGTTTTTTGTTTTTGTTGACCAACTTAATCCCGATAAGTGTAAGCTGAACTACCAAAGAAGATAAGAGAAAGAGAAAATTGAATTGTCATTTTATTTATCAGGAACATTGATATATTGCTATTTCAGCCATTAAATCAGTACAGCTAACTTCTGTTTCAATTCGCTCTGAAGGTTATACATATTCATATTTTATACTTTATCCAATAATCCAAAATGCAAACTGTAACCGAAATAGTTATGATGGCACTTGCAAAACGAACAAAGTTGCAAAATATTTGTCAAAGTTGCGACCATTTCCGTTCCATTGTTCATTGTTTGACTGAAATTATCCATGTGCCACTTCTGCCTTGTTTGGCAACTCAATTGAAGCTGAACTTTGGTAAATATTTGGCAGGAAGTGGAGTGGGGATATGGTATTGGACAGGGTAAATATGGAAATGCCATATATATTGATTAGTTTTTGCTCTCTATGCAGATTGCTGCCCGCGAACGAGTGGCTCCGGGAATCGCAGCAGATGCAAAAGTTCCTGGAAAGTACTCTGCAATCCTTGGTCCAGGGAGCAAGTGCATCCGAACGATCAGCGGACTTTGTGGAAAGGGTGCAGCAACTAAGACGCACGCAGATTGAACGGGAAGTGAAGCAAGCCATGGGTAATTATTATTTATTTCTTTATTAATTATTTAAGTGTTAAATAATTTTATTTTTTTGAAGCTCTGACAAGCGAGAAGATCCTGGCTGTGTTCAGGGAGCGAGCTGCCCAGTCCACCAAAAGGGATGTGGAGGCCAGTGAGCGGCTAAGAAAGATCAAGGACGAGCTAACCATGAACCTCTCCACGGATAATCACACAACCTTAGTGTAAGTGTTTCCTTTTGCGATTAAAATTGTTTAATGAGTGTACTCACTGCCATTTAATATTTCCCCATTACAGGGTGCCCGGCTGTGCCGCCAGCGAGGCCATCGATCCGGACAACGAGGACCACGAGTCCTACTTGAGCAAATTCAAGAACAAGGTCACCGACAAGCTCCGCCTGCTAATCGAGGCGCACATAACCAATGATCCCGACGTAATCAAGGGGAGGAAAAAGACTGTGCAGGTGAGTTGGATGCAGGATAGGTATAACTCTGAAACGGAGGCCCATTAGCCGAACAGACAGGCTACAAAACGCCTGGGGCTGTGAATTAAATTAAATGCAAACCCCTCTCACCTTTTAACCGCTGACCACTTATTTAATCAACGGACATTCTGATTGTTCGTTGTAGTCATAAATTAATTCAAACAATTAAGCAAAACACAAAGGAGGCCAACAGAAGCACCCCGTCTTTATGGTTCGAAGTTACCTTGTTGCCGTTATTTTGTTCCACTTTTTGGTATTTTTGTTTTTGAGCCTTACTTGGGCTTCTTTGCTATTGTTTACGGTAAAAAGCATATTGGCCGGGCCAACACAGAGTCCCGTGCTTTTGGCTAATGGCAGCGTGTTAATTAAATGTTCGGCATGTGGCAGGTGAATTATGCCCCAAAGGAGAGGAGTTTGTGGCAGGGAAAACACAAAAGTGGAAAAAATCATTTCGAAATTTAAGGGAAATTTTAAAGTACAAACTTTTCGAGTTCTGTTGCTCTCCCAAGCACAAAAGAAAGGCTCTTATCTGGGCTCAAACAATGCCAAAATAAAGCTGTCATTTACAGAACAAAATATAGTTTAGAAGAAATGTAAATAAAGCTTTAAAACAAAAAACACCGTTTAGAAAAACACACACAAATACACTAACGAAAAATGCAAATAAAAACTGTTTAAAGATTCTCTTTATATTTTGCTTTCACCTGAAACACGCTGAGATTGTTTTGGAAATTGCAATTTCAACGGAAATCCAACTAAACCTGTTCGCAGCACGTCCTGTCTGTACGTCTGTATGCGAACGGATGCCCGAAAAAGTATGCTATGCATATGACAGTTGTCGAAATTGAGTCTGAAAGAGAGATTTCCTGCAATAAAAACCAATTGAGTTGCCCCAAAAAAGAAAAAAAAGTGGCTACCGGTGTCGTTTAGCCCAAGGAGTAGCCCGGTCTACTACAGCTTCTCTCCGATCCGTTGCGGTTCCCTGCCTTGGCCTGCATTGCATAAGTTGCACTCGCCACCATTTGCCGGCTATGAGCATCCTTGCCAGCCCAGCTTAGCTTCAAGTTCCTTGCATTCAGCTTTCCCGACCCCCCCAGCCCCCCAGCCCCCGCCTCTTGTTGGCTTTTGTTGAAAGCATTTAACATTTCAGCTCGGTCGCAGCCGAAGGACGAAGGCGTAATGCGAACTGGTCGCTGCCATTAGCGGATGTGTGCGAAAGCGGCACTTGGAGAAAGTTTTGGGTCATAAAAAGAGGTTGAAATTTTGGGAAAAATAAAGATTATGGATTTGATGAAATTAAAAATTTAATTAAAATTCAAATATTTCCTTGAAATGAGTACGCCTTTTTTTGAGTATAAATTCTCCTGCGTATGCCGCTGCCTCTTTACAGTATTGAAAGTATATATAACTCAAGAGTAAATTAAATATATTATTACTCTTACACTTTCTTAGTGTAACAGCCACCGTTGCAAGTCGCCTTTTACCGGCTCACTGCTTCGTGCTACAGCTTCGCCTCCTTCATTTTCCTTTCACGGCTCTGGGTCGCTTTCCTTTACGAACACCCTTCCGCTTTTCCTGCCCCGTCGCCTCTGACATATTAACACACTTACGCTTGGGCACAATGTAGCCACGCCCAGGTTGTCCCTTGTTTGCACTTAACGATGCAGCAACGTAAACTGCATCCAGTTCTGGTCAACACGGCACCATTCTCCTGCATCCCTTCAGTGCCTCCGATGCGGATAAAAGTGTTGGCAAAGGTAAATCCCATCGCCCATCGCCCATCTCCTGGCTTTGACAAAATGTTGTGGCACTCGTTGCCGCAACCAAGAAATATGCAAAGTGTGCAGCAGCCTCACACTCTTTCCACCCTAAACTACACGTGGTACAACGTGTGGTATGAGCAATGCATGGTCCAACGTGTGGCATGAGCAACCTCTTGTGTGGCAACCGCTGGCACTCGCCTTAAATGAAATTAAATCAAGTCAAATGCCAACTAATTAAGCGGCAAACTGTGGTAGTTGTCTTAAGGCGACTTTACCAGCTACCGGCAACAGCTCCTGGCCATATTGATTCGCCTGTCATGTCCCCGGGAAATGCATTACGCAGATGCTGTCAAATGAGATTTACAAAGCAAAAGCCGCTTACTGGCAAGAAGTGGCGTAAGAGACTCTGTCGCAGACTCAGTCTCAGTCGCAGAGTCTCAGAATCGGAATCATCATCAGACTCAGTCTGTGAAGGAGGTCCTGGCAAGGACAGGGCGATGACTACTTGTTAGTGGCAAACATGCCACGGCCAGACAAGGTGAGACACACTCACAAAATAACAACTGGGAAAAAGAACTCTCATTGAATGTTGTAAATCACGAAATATATTTGATATTATTTGGAAAAATAAAATCTTAGGGATATTTATATTCATGCAAATGAGACGTTGTGAAAGGTGTCTTAGACTTAGACTTTAGGACTAGCTAAACACACAATTTTCTTCTTAGTGTCTCGAATAAAACACCACTTCCAAGCTACCCAGCAGGTGGGCAACAAAAAATAGTAGGGGCAATGGCAATGGCAAAGGTAAACAAAGTTACGGGGCAAACACGCTGAATGCCACTCACTCGCATTCAGGCTCTGATGGGGATGATGATGATGACGTGGTCGGTCCTCGGGAACGGGAAACGGAGAACGGAAGCAGGCGACACTTTGGAATATACATATATATTTTCCAACATACATTTATGTAGAAGGTGGTAGGTAGTATATATCTGACATATCTGAGGTGTAAGCCGGCAGAGAGCTCTTAGAGGTCACACGCAGCAGCTGGCCCCAGATGAATGGCTGAAGGAGGTGAATGCTGTGGAAGTGACACCAGGACACTGGGTCTCAGGATGAAATGAAGATGCGGTTACTGGTGTCAGGTGGCTGTTGGATGTTGGCTGCTGTATGGCAAATCCAATTACCGACAAACTATTCAAATATATACATATATTTCTATGCAAATTATATTCATACTCAGGAGCCTGCAATCAAAAATAATTACAAACTGAAAAAATAACATTGAAACTGCTGTTGACCTTGCGGGGGAAATATAAGTTTTGGATTTGTTCGCATTTAAAATTAATCCACCCATCGGATTAAGCAATTAATTTCCTGGATTCAACAGATTTAAATGTTATTTAAAGCTAAAGCAGGAGTACAGCTTATATGGAATTTATTTTATAACTGGCGGCACATGAGGTTATCGTTTATAGTTGCAGCTGACATCACTTGGCAAGCGATTGGCTTAATTGGCCGTTGGATAAATAAACATTGAATTAAATTCCCATTTATCACACTCAAACGAATGCAAAAGCAAAGCCAGCAGGGAGCAGCAGAAAAAGAAATCTGTTTGAAATAACATCTTTAATGGGAAAGAGCTTGTGAGCTTAAGGGTTAACCAAATAAAGGTTTACCAAATTCAAGGGAAAATATAATCTTAGTAATAATAATGTTTTCTAAAGATATTGTAATTAAAATTTATAAATAAATTCATATAACAACTACAGGAGCCGTTGTGCGGTGCAAAGTTCCATAAAGCTATTTTACTTTACTTACTTGCATTGCCACATAGTTTCTTATATCCTCCCTCTTTAAAGATTTTTATCTTGTTCTAATAATCCATTCTCTATTCAACTAATACCATTTTCAGGAAATCTTTCATGAGCACTCGACCCACCTGCGCATCCTGCGCGATCACACGGCAAGTGCGGCTCTGGTGGAGTCTCGGGTGCCACAGCAGCTGCGCCAGAACCTGATGGCCAACTTCCGGAATGGCAGCCGGCATGCTCCGTACTTCATCTGCGGTGCGGATGGTAGTGGCAAGAGTGCCATCATGAGCCACCTGTACGGACAGGTGAGCACTTGGTTTGGCTCCACGAGGGTGCATCGGGTGATCCGCTTCGCCAAGGCCACACCCCGCTCCGCCTACAATCTGGAGTTGCTGAGAGTAGTGTGCCAGCAGATCTCCATCATATTCAATATACCGGAGGGCTATCTGCCCAAGGATGCCTCCTTCGATCCGCTGTACATCAGCACCTGGTTCCAGAACCTCCTGCGACGCGTGGAGGACATGGGCAACGATGTGCTCTTCCTGTTTATCGACGATCTGCATCTGCTGAATCCGCTGGACTGCGACATAGTCACCGCCCTGTCCTGGCTGCCCACATCGCTGCCGTGGAATGTGCAGATCATCTGCAGCTCCACCACGCCCGTGGAACAGCTCAAGTTCACTCCCATGCAGCGGGATCGTTTCAAGTCCGCCGAATATCAGTTCGACCTGAATCTGGGTGACTTTGCCACCCGGCTCAAGATACCGCCGCAGTGCGTGCCGGGAGATGTGAGCTTCGCCCTGTACGTGGAGCAGCAGTTCGACCAGCTGGAGCGGCACTACGGCAAGCAGGCGGTGGGCGGATTGGCCGCATACATCACCTGCTCGGAGTACGGCCTGACCGAGACGGAGCTGTTGGAGCTGCTCATGCCCACCGACGATCCGGAGTCGCTGATTGAGACCAAGAGCGGACACTTTAGCTTTGCCACCTTCAAGAAGATTCATCGCGAAATGGGTGGGTTGTCTCTACTTCTTAGGCCTTAGTTATAGTTACTAGATGAATTCCTTGGATCCGTAAATCCTCTCTCCTTTACAGACACTCTCCTACTGCTGCATGACAAGATCATGTCCGGCAAGGTGCTCATCCAGTGGCGCCACAATTACTGTGCCGCGGTGGCCAAGCGTCGCTACATGGACGCCCAACGGACACGAAGCCTTCACAGCGAACTGGCCAACCTGTTCTTTCCCCAGGACGAGGACGAGAGCACGCTGGAGAACGAGTCGAATGCCAGCGAGGCCAGGTCAGTGATCAGTGCCAAGGACAGAGAGCGCGATAAGGAGAAGGACTCCCTGTCGGCGGTATCGGCTGTTTCGGCCGGCCGTAAGTCCTCCTCGACACATCACAACGACGACACCTCCACCTTCTACAATCCCATTGCCGCCGATGTGAGCTACAGCATGCGTCACGTGGAGGAGAGCTGGCACCACCTGATGCGATCCGATGACACCACACGGTTCAAGCAAATAGCCGTTTGCAACTTTGACTTTCTGCTGGCGGCGGTAAGCTCCCTTTAATTACTTCTCCTAAGATAAAGTAAATGGGGAAATGCAATCAGAGAGGAGCTGTGAGCTCCTCTTAATTGCCTAACTAATTTGGCAGTCAAACTGCCAGTCTTCCGCTCACAATCATGTCAAAATTTAGCACCAGCTAAATGGCACAAAGTTAATTTGCGCATTCAAAGGACAGGCTGAGAAGTGAAGCGAAACTAAATTACAGAGCTCATTTTATTTATTTATTATTGATTCTACTGCTGCCTTTCACTGGCTGTCACTCTGGCCGAAATAAAATCATTGAGTGGAACTCGGATTGATTGGTAGTTGGAAGCTGGTTACCCATATCGTTTCCAGGGAATAAAATATCATAGAAAGTGACAGCTTACACTTGATATTTATTGACCACTTCAAACTTCTATTATTAGTATTTATAAATAAATTAATAGAAAAGAGTGGATAAAAGTGATTTATTGATAGTTATATACACAAATTTAATGGAAGGGATTGATTTAATATGATTCTGTGATGCTACAGTTCTTTATATATTTTTCACATATTGAAAGAAAATTAGAATAAGGTTTACTATTACAACCTCAAAACTTGTTTTATAAATTTGAGCTTCCCTTTAAATACTTAACTTGTTTACCTTTTCGCTCTAAATTAATTATTTAAATGCAGTTAAATCAATAAATCTCTGCAAATAATTCTGTCACAGGAACTAAATTAACTTGACAAATAGTTTTATTAATTTTAAGTGAAACGGACAGATAAAACCATCAAAAAAAACATATAGTTTAATGTGTTAATCAGACGCAGGCTTACATTCGGTGAATGCTTCGCTGAGTTTCTGCTTGTTGCAAAACGCTCAATTTAAGCAAACCTCGGACAGCTGTCAGACCATTTTTTTAATTCTCTCACTTAATTGTTCGTTGCAGTTTGCCATCCGGCATTGTTTTCCGATCCCCTATCCTCCCTTGCCCCACCATTTAATTTAATTTCATTCCGTTGTGTTCCGTTTCAATTCGCTTTATTTGGCGCTGAAAAGTATGCAATTAAACTTTTGTGACTCGCTGAAAGAGCGAGCGCGTGTTGGAGAGCCAATCAAATGAATTCCCTTTTGTTGCTATTTATTTTCTCGACTGGAACGAACGTAATGCAAATTTGGTATACAATTTTATGTTGTCAATATTTGTGTGGCCCCCGGGCAGTAATGGAAACCGAAGCTGGTCAAGCGGCATACATAAAATATGAGCAATTTTGATTCTAATTAACGCCCACTTCAATCAAGCAACGTTATTTGAGACTTAACCTAATCGATATTTGGCCAGTCCCCGTTTAAAGGCTTTAAAGCTCAAACTCTAGCCTTGATACATTCTCAGATTGCTCTTTATTAAGGAAATGTCCCAGTTATATCTTTCAAATACATGTAACTAAGGAGAGACAATGAATCTGACATTTAATTTAATTAACTACACTTTGTTGTCACGTACATTTTGTCATAGATATATGGGCTTTTCAATCATTTACAAATTTATGCAAAAAGTTGTATTTAAGTCATCTCTGTGGGGGTTTCTTTGTGGAGGGAACTGGCATATCGAAAATAATTAAGGCAATAATTGGTGAATGACCCTTAAGAGCTACATAATAGGTAATTAAAAGTAAGGAGCAATAGGAAGGCCTTGAGTATAGTTTCAAAAAGAGCTTTAAATGGTGATTTTATTACAAACATGTATGGCGTGATGCATCGTATTTATTTATATTTTCCTATATAAGTATTTAAAATCGTAAGGCGTTACGCATTGTATACACATATATTTTCATAAACCTTGTTTAAACATTCAAAATTGAATTTAATATCATGAACCCCCTTCTTTGTATTAAATTACAGGTGCAAACCGTGTCTATTAGCTACCTGCGCTGCCTAATCGAGCACGTGCGCTGCTACATCCTGGACAGGGACATCGAACTGATCTACTATACGATCCGCAAGTCCAGTGACGTCCTCACCCGCGACCCCATGCAGCTGGGCTCCCAGCTGATCTCCTGGCTGCGACCCATTGGGGAGCACGACGACGATGACAACTCGCTGCTCAGCATGACGGTGCGCTCGGCCACGGCCTGGTGTGATGGCTATGCCGTGCCGCTCCTGGTACCGCTCACCGGCTGGCTACCGGCACCGCTGCCCTCACAGATCCGCACCATGACTGTGACTGGCACGGGCCTGATTCGAGCCGTGTGGCTGGCTCCTTCGAAGCAGCATCTCATCCTGGCCACCAGCTCCGGCGACGTGCAGCAGTGGCACATCATGAGCAATTCGTTGGAGCACATCTTCAAGGGTGAGTACTGTGTTGCTTCGTAATGTCTTGCCATTTGAGGAGGCTAATCGTGAACGTCTCTCCCATCTCTCCTGTCTGCCTCTGTTTCCATTTGCTTTATACTTCCATTTGCGGCAGGACACACTGCGGCAGTCACGTGCCTCCTGGTGGCCCCGCAATCGGAGTCGGAGCTGCTGCTGACCGGCTCCGAGGATGCCAGCGTCCTCGTCTGGCACGTTGCACACCGCGAGCGTCGGGGGCACATTAAGTGAGTACACCAAGAGAATAGGAGTATCGTTTTGATTAAGGATTCCTACTACTTAAGCCAATCTTACATAAAATAAACATAGATTTGCTATTAAAATTCAATCAGTTTTAAACAAAAGTTATGTGATTTTCCTATTTCAAATACAAATTAAACATGGAATTCCCTGATATTTTTTCTGTCTCTGTCGAGAACTTCAAGCCAACTTAATCATTCCCACTTTGCCACTCATCGCCCAGAGCGTAATTTGTAAATCTCTGCAGGCGCAATTTATCTAAACATTCCCTCACCGCCTTCATGACTCTTCCATTGTATCCTTGCAGCGCCCACACAGCTCCCATTACGGGCGTGGCAGCCGGCGTCAATAACACGCTCATCATAAGCAGCAGCGAGGATGCAACCATCGCCATCACGGACCTGGCCAGTGGCAAGCTGGTAAGCAAGCACAAACAAACAAGAAACCCAAACCCAAACCCAGAACCTAGAACCTAGAAACCAACACAATCCCCACTCTTGTAAGCGGATTCATTTAGGACTCTGACTCTGGTCTTGGGTGTTGCGGGGTGTAGGGATAATGGTCGCTGTAATGGTTATTTTCAGCGCATTAAAAGTGGGACAATGGTGACGGGGTATGCTTTTAGAGAGACTTTTCGACATAAGGATAGACTAATTCGAAGGGAAGTGCCATACGGTGGATTCATAATAACATACTCTGTAGATTTTTCTAATAGTTATGACAAGAAAAGAATCTCAGAGGTTTTAATTTAAATATGTAAAAAAAAGGGTACTTTCTATTATAAAACATTACAGGATAATAATAAAAGTTATACATTCTTCTTTACTCCAAAGCTAAAACACTTACATTGTCCCTTAAATTTCTACCAGAGCCAAAATAAATAGCTTTTTCCTTACTTAGATGCATATTTGGTATCTGTATTTAATCTTTAACAAAGCTAGACAGTTTCTCTGACAGGCACCATTTGAATCTACCACTGAGATAGCTTGCTTGATATATAAAAATAATAATTTAACAGAGAGAAATGCTGAAGGTATTTCTACTCACCACCAGGATAAGTTTAGGCAAACAATCTTTGCCAGAGCAAAAATATTTCTACAGTTTATTTGACAGTCACTTGATTACATTTTTACTTCAGACAATATTTAAGCAAGGCTTGGTAAAATTTAAGTTTAAATTAAACTAAAGCAACTTTACTTATAAAACATAAATTTCACTTATTTAAGACAATTTTCCTCATCATTGAGCCACTAATACTTCAATTATACATTAGAAAAAAAAACCTATCAATGCCTGTCCATCCATATTAATTACTTGTAATGCAAATCGATTAGGTTGCAAACAAGCAAGCATCCCCAGCTTTATTTTATTAATTATTTTCACTCCCCGGACTTTAATTTGAGGCCGTAATTGAAATGCATTGAACGCTTTTCCATTTGGGAAATGAAAAATGCATTTGTTGAAGCTAATTGCGAGACCTCACCGCAAAGCCAAATCAAACAGACCGACAAACCGAATGCATTTGCATAATTTCTCCAGGCCCGGCAAATAGCCCCGAAATAAATTCCGAATTACTATGGCTGCACATGCCTTCCATCAAAGCGGCAGCGGAGGCAAGGTCACACGGATGAGGAGGAGGAAGTGGGGCCTCGAATGGGTTCGTTGCCATCTGGCAGACATGTGTGCCTTGCTTGTTGAACATGGGTTAAACAGGAGCAGGAGCAGGAACGGGAGCCAGAGTGGAGAGCCTTCCTTCACACATTTACATTTCGCGGCTTTGGCAAATGAAGCGTGGCCTGGGTCCCGTGTCCTACTTTTCCGTTGCCGCTTCCACTTTCCACCTTCACTCCCATCAGATGCCATAAGTCATGCCAAGTTGATATTTCAGAGACGCACACATTAAACTGTGATTACCCACAATGCGCCGTGTTTGCATATTTCGCGGTGCTTCTCCGCCCGTGTCCTTGTTCGCTCCTGTTCGTTGTCCTGTTGACACACATATATAGAAATTAGATTTATTGCCACTTGGTTGGCCCCGGGCATATTTTAAAGTCAATTTCGCTGACTCGTCGGCTGCTGCGCATCCTCTTCAGTCCCCAATCTGGACGAGGGTGCAACACTCGCTTTTTATTTTTTATGGCCGGAAGTGACTCCTCCTCCTCCTCCTCCTCCTCCTCCTCCTCCTCCTCCTCCTCCTCCTCCTCCTCACACACTTTCACACACCTGCAATTACGAGCTCTTATTGAATTAATTACAATATTACGTATACGCCGTGTCATGCTGGCATTTCCTTTCATGTCGCCGCGGTTCTGCTTTTTTCCTCTGTTTCTTTTTTAAAGTCCATGTAATTTATCAAACTTTTGGCATTTTCCGAGAGAAAAGGGGAAAGGGAACCTCGCATGCTAGGTGGTAATTAACTTAATGCATACCAAATGTGACAAACAAAGGGGGAGAGGCATAAGGGATCGCAACTGAAAACAAAGGCAACATCACATGTGTCACGCGAGCGAAGGCCAAGAGTTAGGTCCCCCAAAGCCCAGTGATTAATATTTAAAGTCCCTTCGCTTATGTGACACTAAAACCAAATGGCATTCGATGAGCATAGATGATAGGAGAGCGGGTGGGTTTTAATCAAATTTCTTTTATAGGCAGAAAAACTAAAGGAAAAACGTTAAAAACTTCCCTAATAAACACATATTTTTATGATTTCTCTCTAGAAACACCGCATCACACATCACCGCGGCCCCGTAACCGGCATCCTGGTGGCCGGAGCATGTGATGTCCTGATCTCGGGTAGCCACGACCGTACCATTTGCGTGTGGGATCTGGAGAACTTCAGCCTACTGAACACCATGCAGATGACGAGTCCCGTGCTACGGATTGACATATCCTGGAACTCGGTGAGTCTTACGTTAGGAATTAATTGCCAAGGAAGGATTAATTTTGGCTGAGCCCGGGAGTGCATCCTTGGTGGATTTTCCCTACTTCCTTACACACTTGTGCTTTGTCTGGCTTTTTTCCAAATTTTACGAACAAACTTCGCAGCAAAGACAAAAGTTGAGTCCTTAAGGGGATTTCCCTGCTCATCATGCTCAGCAGTAAAGCTTTAAAAAGAAATTCTTGTATACGAGACACATACAAAAGGAAAGGAAAAAAATAATAATAATAAAAAAGAGAGAGCAAAAGCAAAAGCGAAAGAAAGAGGAGAATGCAAAGCTTTAAGCCATATTCCACTTGAGTGAAGTATCCCAAGTAACCCAATAACGAAAAGCGCAATTTAAGGGCCAGGGAGGACCTGGAAATGGAAGTGGAAACCGTCTACGAAATCCCCGAATTCAAAGTCAAAGTCGAATTCAGTTTAAAGCTAAACACAATAGATAGAGGGGCGAATAGATGTGCTTAGATATGATAGATAAAGCAGGGCAGAGGCGAAATTCTAATAAGTGATTCCGGCTTTGGGGACGTATTACGCGCCAAATCCTTTGTTGTCAATCAGCTTGACAAAACGTGTGCGTGTGTGTGCGGGTATTTGTGTTCGTGCCTGCCTCTATCAATAAGTATTGCATACTTAGCAGCAATTTGGCACGCAAAATAATATCAAGATAGCGACGGGGAGCACTGTGCTCCAAGCTACAAGCTCCCAGCTCCCAGCTCCCTGACACTGTTGTCGTCCTTTGTCAATGGCAACTGCTGTCCCCATTTCATTGTATCCCTCCCCCCATTCCGTACCAACGGCAATTGATGCGTGCTTCCACTTGGGTCTCGCTCCTCCCCATCCATTCATCCATCCATCTGGTCCGCTCCAGCGGATCCACAATAGACAGACAACAGGAGAAAGCAACTGTAATTCAAGGTGTGTGCCGGGTGTGCAGCTCTAGGAAGTTGATGGCCAGGCTTCAGGCTCAAGTGAATCTCCTAGGATGACACATATCAGACACAAGGATGCACTTAGAAAATCAAGAAGGCCTAACAATTGAGAGAAGAATAAAAGGAAAAAAAGGGGGAAAAAATATAGAAAGTATTGATATTGATATAAAAAAAAAACTCAAAACTCCCGATAACATTTCTCCCAGTGAGCTAGCTTTCATTCCCCTTTTCAAACAACAGAAAACCAAGACTGAAAAGCCAGAGACAGAGCGAAAAGAAAGACCAGGAGAGCGATTCAATTACCATCGGGTCTGGCTTGGAGCAGGGCTCAGGCTGTTTCAGAACCAAAGTTCGGGATGATGTCCTCCTATGCTTGCCGCAACCGAAAATACAATTTCACACATTAAACAAAAGTGCTGGCGAAAATTGAGGGTAAATTGCCTATAAGCAGGCGGAAAAATTGTTTCGCGATAACGAGGACATCCGCTGAACGAAAATTTCCCATTCCTTCCCATTCCCCTTGTAACCTGAAAATTGAAATGTAATTTCAACCAACCATGGTTACAAGCATACAGATTCTGTTCGCTCTATATATGTATATATGTTGTGACAAGAACCGGGCCCCTTGGGCAGGATTCTTAGCCTCGGCCAAACGGCAAAAGGAAATCAACTTTTCTACACTTCACCCGGCATCCTGATGGCTTTTCGTGGCACTTGTGGTCTCGGCACGAGCTTCCTGGGAGATGTCCTTAAATTGGAATTGGTTGCAGCCAGTGTCTCCTCTACCTTCATGCCGCAAATGCAATTTATTTATTTTCGATTCATTTTGCCCCCAAGGCTGTCCTAATGCCAAGGAATTTAATCAATTATTTTATGGGAAGCTGTCTCTCAATTAGTCAGATTTTAAAATTAGTATTTTCTGATTGAAAAACTGATTAACAGGTTAAATAAATGACCTAATAAGTAATTGCTATAATTAAGAACCTAATTAATCTACAACATTTATTGTTAGGTCTTTTTGCTGGCCCTGTGCGAGGACAATGCTCTTTATGTCCGCACCCTGGCCACTGGCAAGGAGCTGCACACTCTCAAAGGACACAAGTCAAAGGTGGGTTCCCTCTATACCCCTTTTCTGCCTTAATCACACCGAAATCCTTTTTAGATCCGCACCATTTCCATTGGCAAGGATAGCCAGCGGTGCGTGGTGGGCTGCGATGATACCCGGGCCCTGATATACGACATGCATGCCGGGAAACTGGTGCGATCTATGCCTCCGAATCCGGGGCCAGTGACCGCCGTTCATGCGATGGACAATGACGACTTCCTGGTCACGGTGGGCGGCAACAAGATTACCTTCTACTCGTTCCGGAACGAGGAGCTCTACATAAATCCTTACTCACGGCATCCGCGACGCAAGCGAAGCCTCAAGCGCCACGCCCAGGCGCAGCGATCTCCCTCGACCACCCTGCCGCCCATCACCTGCTTCGACCTGTCGCGGGACTCCCAACAGATGGCCATTGCCTCCGGGCGAAGTGTCCACCTGATGCGGATCAACACGCCGGAGTATCAGTGCAGCCTGGAGGGCCATGCGGCAGGTGTGTCCTGCTTGAAGTTTGCCCCCAACGGCGAGTTCCTGGCCACCGGCTCCGAGGATCGGTTGGTTCTCATCTGGAACCTGTCCCTGGGTGAGATCAGCAACACATTCAAGGGTCATGCTGCTCCGGTGGTCAAAGTGGTGGTGCTAATGGATTCCCTGCGGGTCATCTCGACGGATCGTGACTCCTTGCTGCTCGTCTGGATGGCTGACTCGGGTAATCTGCTGCAGACCATCCAGGGTCCCTACAAGAGCCTGGCCGTGACCAACAACATGCGCTTTGCGGCCTCCACCAATGGGGACAACACCCTCAAGATCTGGTCACTCACGCAGGAGGACGAGAAGTATTCGGTCTCGCATTCCGACGAGATCACATGCTTTGAGATCAGTGCGGACAGTGCTCATATCATCAGTGGATCACGGGACATGTCCCTGAAGGTGTGGCAGGCCACGGGTGGCAAGCTCAGCCAGGTGCTGGTGGGACACAGCGATGCTGTTACCTGCGTGGCCGTATCCGTGAGCAATAAGACCCAAGTGCTGTCCGGTTCCAAGGATACGAATCTCATCATCTGGGACATACTCACTGGCGAGGAGGTGCACACCTTGGCGGGACATCTGGGTCCTGTGATAGGAGTTAAAGTTTCGGCAGATGGTGAGTGGAAACACTCTATCCTAGATTCATCTTTTTAATCAAAGTAATTACGGATCATTTATCCTGCAGGCTCCACTGCGGTGTCCGGCAGCGATGACAAGACTTTGATTGTATGGGAAACCAAGCGCGGCTTGGCCTTAACCTCTCTGCAAATGCACGTGCCCTTCACCCACTTTGACATTAGCTTGGAGGTGTCCCGAGTGTTGGTCCAGCTGGTGGACAGCTACAATCTTCCCGTGATCTGTCTGCACAACACCCCGGCGCAGTATGTGAAGCTGCCCACGTATTCGGGTCCCAGCAAGGATGTTGAAGGTACGCATATTCTAAGGAGAAGAAATATTCATTAAATATAATTTTCAAAATCATTTACTTCCCAGACCTTCGACCCCAGGGCCCGAAGCGCCAGATGAAGCGACTGCTGAAGAAGGAGGTCTCCCTGGACACGTACACCTGGCAGAAGAAGTACGGCCACCTGACCTCGTCCGTTATGATGGCCCAGGTGGATGAGCGTCTGAAGCGACGCTTCAGCGTATCCGCCAGCATGGAGGAGATCTCGAAGATCGCCGAAACCAAGACGGGAGCCTCACAGGCGAACCTGGGGCCGGAACAGGCGGCTCTGGCCCAGTCCCAGCACTTTGACCAGCTGGAGGCGCTGTGGAACAAGCGGTCGCCGCCGCGAAGGCGTCACAATGCGGTAAGTCTGGGGGATTCTCCACCATCTCTCGCTCTTTCTTTCTCCCTCTGTGTCCCGCGCGGAAGGAGGAAATGGATATTTGGCGAAAGGACCTTAGCTGCAGTTCGCTTTAGTGGTTGTAATCCTTATATAACGTATATACGTAGTAGATGCGCTCACGATTTCCTTTTTTTGTTTCGTCTTCTTTCTTTTCGGTTCATTTCGCTTCGTCTCTCTGTTTGCTTACACACCAATGTGCCACCTGCAACATGCAACATGCAACATGTCACATGCAATGTGCAATGTGCAATGTACAATGTGCAACTTGCAATTTGAACCCATTAAACAGGGCCTGTCGAGGCAAACTTCGCTGGTGGAGGACCGCCTGGAGTCCTCGGACGACGACGAGTACCAGGACGAGCGCGCAGGTATGTTGTCCGCCTCCTACGACCACATCCACCTCCTTGCACGTTTGCCCGGCCTCCGATCCCTGCACGATGCATGGAAGACGAACAGCCTGCGGGTGAAGCGGCCGCACTCGCGGTCCTCCCGCACCAAGTTCTATGTGAGCACACCACCACCACAGAACTCCCAGGACGGCAGCAGCCAGCAGCTGGACACGAATGACCCCACGACACCTGCACCGCTGACCCCCGGACAGAGTACCGCCCCCGATTTGGTCAGGGATCTGCTGCTGGTCTCCGGATCAGCTCTGCCCGCCGCGCCCGAGTCACCGCAAAGGATCTCGCTGAGGCAGTTGCTCCACTGGCCCAGCCTCAAGTCGCATTTGTGGCGTCGCCAGCGGAACTGCCAGTCCCTGGAGCCGCACATCCGCCTGAATCCGCCGGAACGGATCCGAATGCGGCCCACTCCCATCATTGTGGTGGAAAACTACGACGGGCGGAATGTGCGGCAACTGCGCACGGATCTGATCCTGCATCCGCAATCCAGTCGCGCCTCCATTGGCCACATCGAGCTGGACGGCCGGGGCAGCGGCAACAGCAACGGCAGTGAGCAGCCGCTGGCCAAGAAGGCATCCACTGGCGGCTACTGGCAGCGCCGCTGGCACCTCTTGCGCTCTAAGTCCGTCCGTTCCGAGTCCCGACATCCCCCTCCGCCCATCCGGGAGTCGGGCGGCACCTCTCACTCGAATAGCAGCACCCCCGATCCCACGGCCAACTGCAACGACTGCGTTGCCCAATGACCACCGACTCCGACCCGAGCCCCGACAGCCACACACCACTTTCACTTCCACTTCCTCTTCCACCTTTACCTTTACCTCCACTTCCGGTTTACAGCACCTTGTTTTGCAACTCTCTGTCCGTAGTTTTGGCCATGCGTAGTTGTTTCGCCATTTAAAGTATTTTTTTAATAAATTTCCACAAAAGTTGATTTCGTATTATTTTATTGTTCTTGCTCGTTCAATTATAAGCAATTTTTTGTTTATTCATATTTTCCGCCACAAGCTCAGTTGAGGTAAGTACACTGGCAAAAAATGAAGACTGTAGTTTGATAAAAAAAACAAAAACAAAACAATGAAAATAAGAAAGAGGTAAGGTTTGTTTTTGATAAATATTATTTAAATGGAGGAAAATATATATTCTAATATATTGAGCCAGCGTAGCCTAGTAATTATTGATGCAGAATTCTAAGGGAAAAGTAAAAGATGCAGAAAAAAATCCCTTAAAATTCCGAATCTTTGTTCTGTGATACTTAAAGTCCTATCAATAGCAAAGATTAGTTAAGAAATATTTTAGTGAAAACTAAAAAGGCTTTATAAACAACCTGATACACTTTTCTTTAGAAAAAATCCATCTGTTTATGATCAGTTTTTTTATACATATTAAATCAAGGGAAATGCTTATATAAACAAATATTAAGGCTACTAAAAATAAAGATTTAATGAGAGAATCCTTTAAAGAAAATATGCAATACATATTCTGAAACTTTCCAAACTAAAGTCTGAATTATACCTTCAATTGATACGTGATTGATACATGAAAGGCATCTTAGACTCTCCTCGATATGTGTTTCCTTAAAATTCCTAATGGATTACTTACCCAAAACTTGGAGACTTGAATATTTACAAAGTCCGCAGCCAAAAGGTTTTAAGAAACATGTTCCACACTTAATGGGAATATACGTGCGGTGTAATGCAAATGCCATCTACCATTGTTAATTATAATTAGTTTTTGCCTGGAGGAAACCAGGTAATGACAAGCCAATTCCGCGTGTTTTCGACTGTAATGGCCGTCGGGTAATTGGCAGCAGCGTCATGAATATTAAGTGCCCAGCCCCGACCGCTCTTTTCGCAATGCCAATGCATAAAAGTGCAATCAATAAATTCGCAACGCGATTAACTCGATAAGCAAACAGAAAGACCAAATGCACCGCTGGTTGGGTAATGAATTGAGCGAATTAAAAGCAATCAATTTGAGGGGGAAACTGCAAGGGTTCACCCTGTGCCCCTCCTGAGAGGTAAGCCGTTCTCCTTCACTCTAAGTTCATCCATTCTCGCCAGGCATGTTTTTTTCTCGCTTACGGGAAACGGAAATCCCACCTCGAAGGACCCATACAACGTCCGTATCCGTGTATTGTACCATAACGTGTTACCTGCTTTCGTTCTCTAAGTATATAATGTTTTCCAGTCTCTTTCCCCCTCTCTCGATGTGTATATATTCCTCTTTGCCTATTTAAATACTCGTTCCATTGTTGGCCAGGCACTCTGCTGCTCTAATAAAACAAAATATATAAAAATATAAACAATGAACAATGAAGTTCCCATTTTCCATTCCAATTATCCGAACTCCGAATGACCACCAACCACCACACCAACAGCCACCGCCCACAGTTCGAAAACCAGTTCCCGCAGCTCACTGCTCCCATAAACCAACTGCAACTGCAACTGCAACTGCAAGGCAGCAACAGTAGCCACCGTAGCACCAGCAGCATCGTGAATAAATAATTAAATTAAATAATTAATTAACAACCCGAGATGAGAACATATTAGTTGACGCACTCCCCACTCCGATTGGCATGATAACTTCCAGTACAGTTTTCTCTCAAAATTATGTCACATCAAAAATATATATACAGTGCACTTTCCAAATGAGAAACCAAAATAACGGCACCCCAAAATTGACTAACTTTGCATACAATTGGCTAATTTCGAATACATATTTCGTTTCTAGACGACTTCGACGACTTCTTTCAGTGGGGATAATAGGACACGTTAGGCTTAAAATATATATTTAATCCGGTTAGGCAACACTTGCATACCTTTCGAATGTACGGGCATACCTCAAATGCAAATGCTGAAACACTTTTGAGAACTCTACATGCAGTTTATAATTACATATGATATATAGCGTACCATAAACACATATTTATAACCGACAAACGACGCCGCACAGCCCCATTGGATGCCAGCAAGTAAGTAAGGTGACCACCACCTCCTAGTAGTAGCCTTAGATCTTAGCCCTTAGAGTCAGCTTAGAGCTTAAAGTCCTTATTTTTTGGCAGCATCCACAATGGCTGAACTAGAGTCTGGCATGGCCAGCAAGTACTGGTACTCGTGCTCGTACTTCGTAATTCGGTGTTAGGCATGTCAGTAGACCGATGCCACACTGACAACAGACATTCTAAAACGAACATTTTCCAATTTGTTGTCAATTTACGCAGATCATTTCGCTTCAGGAGGAGGAGGATACCACAAAGGATAAGGCCTGAGGCCTGGCAGGCAACAACCCCAGCAATTAAGCGGAGTACTTATCAAAAAATGGCAAGCAATAAATGGGGCACACAATTGTAACGATTAAGCCCCGTTTCCCAGCCCCCCATATTGAGCATTTGGCCGCTGGGGGATTCCCCATTTCCCATCGTTTCTGTGTGTGTAGATGATAACCCCTAAGAAACCCTAGAAACCTAAAAACCCAAAGAAAACAAAAAATATATAGTTAAATCTGATAAACCACCGTCTCAGACTCTGTAGGAATTATAGCATTAAGCGAGCCAATTTAGACATTTTATTGTCGTAGAGTGTTTTATGTACTAAACTCGAGCTAAAAAGCGCAATAACTTAGAATCTGTTTAAATGAGAAATGCAAATACAAAACTCTCTGAGGGGCTAAAAGCGTAACTATGCTTAAAAAACAAACACACAAAAAATAAACAAAGGACAAAACTTAATACACTGACACAAGCACAGAGCAAACACTAATGCAACATATTAAGCTAATGTATATATATTAAGCTCTCCCAAAAGACCCCAGCCACGTTCGCTGTAGATTATTAGTATTAAAAACCACGACCTCAGTTCGAATCTCACCTGTTCGGGTCACGGGCTTGCACTTCCCTCGGATGTAACTTAAATAACTTTCTGACAATCAGAGGTTCTTGCCTGGAACGAAAACAAACAAAATAAAAAATACAACACAAATGCAAAAACCAAAACAAAAACTCAACTGATGACAACAAATTGATATTTCTACACTGGATATTTCTATGCATGCCACAAGTGAAACTTCGTTAAACTAAGCAATTAATGTCTACGTAGCGTGTAGTGTAGTGTCCACCTCTGTAGCTGAGCCACGAGCATCTCCCGAGGAACTATGCTTCTGGAAACGGAAATGGAAACGGAAATCGGAAATCGGATAGCGATATGGTTACTTACTGAATAAACACGGATAAATGTACACCCTGTCTATGTCTATTAAAACGAAATTAAACTCAACTTTACTGCGGAAAAGCAAAAGCATTTGAAAGTTTTCTTCTTTTGAGAGTTCTAAAATGAAATTATACAATTTAATGGGTGCCGCTGTACATTTTACATTAATTAAAGATGAGTACTGAAGTAGACAATAATAATAAGAGAAGGCTCCGAAGTTTTTGTAGATTGGAAATAATTTAAAATTGTTTGTTTGTCAAAAAGACAACCAATTTTTAGTGCTATATATATCATTGCATACTTTTAGATACATTTTAAAATGATTTTTGGGATACATGTCTGTGACATCTCTGTTTAAAGTGCATTTTAAAGTATACTTTTCAACATTTTTTTTATTGAATTCAAATTTATTAAATAAGTATGCTTTTAAACTCCCCAATGATATTATTATTTATATATTTATTTTATTTTATTTTTTTAAGAAATAATTTAAATATAGAGGCCGCTTTAAGATTATTGATGTCTTTAATTAAAAAATCATCATATTTACCTGTTATTTTACCCTCAAAAGTCCACAGTAATCTCCGCCACGTGTGAAAATCCTTAATTATTTTTTTGTTTCGGAAATCTCTGAATTAATGGCTTCTGTGTCAAGGTCGTGCCGGAGACATATGCATCGAGTTGGCAACAATTAATTCCGTTGCTGTCGTCGTCGTTGGTTTCATTATGCAGGCGGGCCCTTCATCCTGCGCTCTCCATTATTCGCCGCCGTCGCATCTGTCCCCGTCGCGCCGCCTGCTATTGTTTGTTTGCAGTTCTCTGGCCATTATGACACCATTTGCCAAGCCAATGTCAAACAAAAGCCAAAAGCGTCCACATCAGCAGATGGGCGGTGACTGGGCAGGATTGGAGCTGTGGGAGTGAGTGGGCGGGGTGGCCAGGCCAAACCGCAGACGCAGCCATTTTGTTTGCACTGTCTAATGAGAAAAGTTTGCGGAAAGCATTGACAATGAATGCCCCCGATAAGAGCCCATGTCTGTGGGTTACGTCCACAGCCCCCGACGTCGATACAATGTGCCACAATGAGCACAGGGAGGCCCATCATCCACATACACAGACTCCTTGATCGATTGTTATACACTCGTCTAATGAGCTGCCAGGAAATAGGGGAAAAAAATACTGGGCCTGGGTCAACCCTTTTCTGGTTTTCCTCTCTAATTACTTTTGTTCTTTTTCTTTTTTTGGGGGGTTTTTCTACCAAAGACTAAAAGCCATAGCAAAGCAGGCAAGGACCAAGGAGCATGTTCTGATGAATTGAATCTAGCGAACCGCAGACAAATCAAGTGGATGCGGATGCCCTAGAATTTGGGACTCCTAACGCTGAAGGAGAGGCGAAACCGAGAGAGGAGGAGTCTGCTCTTGAGTTTTTCGGAGAATTTAATGGGAAACCAGAAACGACAGTCGCCTGCGGGCCTCCAGCTTATGTTGAAAATAAAAAATGCTCGAAAAAATGCCAACGCTGCTGAAGAGATGCCTCCACATCATACTTGTTCATCTGAATGGATTTTTCCTGCTCGGGCTTCGCATAATTGCAGCCGAGCACAAGAGCACAGAAGGCTTCTAATGTGCATTTCCCTTCATCTCTCGTTTATCCTACACAGAGGAATATTTCGAGAAGTCTAAAATCTACTTTAAGGAAATGTTATATTCCCAACATATCTTTAAAAATTAATTCCCTATTTGTAGGATATATTTTTGGCCTTATTTCAGGTTCTAGCACATATCTAGGTCATATTTCCAGTGCTTTCCTTTAAGCCCTCATTGAGGCACTGCTGAGCACATACAACTAGTCGTTTTTCCCTGCTATCGCCATGAAATCACGCATACGCAGCGTTTAACGAGAGAAACATAGAAGCATTTGAATGGCATCTCGAACAGGCAGCCAAGGCAGGAAACTTTATGGTAAGGACTTAACCATGTATTACGAACTTTCCGACATTGTCAAGCGAAAGTTAGCAGCAGAAGAAGCTTTGAAGATGCGAAAAACAAAACTGACACTGAATAAAAAACTAGCACTGAAGGCAGCACCGAAGTGTGTCCGGATTAAGTGAGCCACTTGCCGCGGGCCCCGTATCCATTCAGTTGTTCACCAACGATTTTCCCACAGGCCAGCAATAAAAATAAATTGCCAAAAAACTACAGGCATTATTTCTTATCTCGTTTTGGAAATTTGTTTTCGCTAAGCAAGTTAAAAAAAAAGAATAATACAGGAAATTTACTAAATCGATTTTTGGGTTTAAGAAGCTGAGAGGGTAGATTAAGATTTAAGATTCTTTAAATAAATTGTTTGTTTGGGTTGCTCAATAAATAAACAATAATTAAGTATTCAATTTAAAATATAATATAGAATAAATAAATTTAAAAAAATTGCAAAATGACTTAATACGCTTAAAGATTGGCAAGTTATCTGCTTCAAAAATTAATTTAAACAAATTGTAAAAAGTATGTAAGCAGTAAAAGAACTTAAATGCAAACAAAAACTACCCCTATTCAATCTTTGATGGTTTTAATATTTTTTTCAATTTGCATAAAACACTTCCCTTGAGAGGACTTTCCCTTTTCCTTTGAAAATCGTACAATTATGAATCCTGGAAGCAATCCCCCATAGATTTGCTGCAGCCGGTCGCCTTGCCAATCAGCTGAAAGCAAACAGTCAACTCTGAATAATGCATTATCCGCATGAAGCGCCATGCTCCTCCCTTGGATACATACTATATACATAGCACCACATCCCACCAGGACGGGGCCATTTGTCCGGCTGCCGCTGCAGGCCACTGATATCGAAAAGCAATTTCCGTTATGGTTGCCACGGCTCCATAATCCCAGCAGCGGATGCAGGCAAATGAGTGTAGCAGGAGCAGGAGCAGGAGCAGGAACAGGACCAAGACGTTGCCGGGACGACGGCGACAACAAGTAGTCCTGGCAACTGACGTCAATCGAGTAAAAACAGACTGAGTACTGACAGTTTCTATCGCATCCCAGTCTGGAAATAACGAATACGAAAACAGGGTCACGATGTTTTGGGGACTAAGCTCGGCGTTGGATTTGTACGATGAGTATCTGAAGGCATTCAAGATCAAGGATGAGCCGCTGGCAGAAGCAGAACAGGTAGGTCCAGGCGGAGACGATGGTTTAAATACCTTGAACATCCTCATTTGCGGCGGTGCTGATCCCCGCCATGTGATCAAGACCCTGGCCAAGAGATACACCCATGGTGTCCAGCCCAAGCTCAATATATATGTGCTGGATGGCTGTGCCGAGATCATAGCCAGGAATATGCTACTACTGGCCATAGCCCTGGAGGATCCAGAGTCCTTTAGTTTGGTATCCAAGGCACACCTGTTTATGGACCTGTACGGAAATGCGGTAATCCGTCCCAGCTCCCATCATTACATGGCCGCCAAGGCACGCACTCTACTCCAGATGGTCACCGATGAGGAGAAGCTTCAGCGCCTGGCTCCCATGCTGAATATCGATGGCCTCAAGTACAAGGAGCGCGATGGTTTGGAGATGGCCTTCAGCTTCTGGCAGCCTCAACCGTGGCACGTATATGAAGTGACCAAGTACTGGGAGCAGAGGTCCAGGGCTCTGCTGGGCACACGATACGATCATCGGAACGGGGCCTTCGACTGGGACTTGAGCATGACCCTTAAGAGTCGTGGTGGCGAGCAGATCTGCTCTCAGGAGTACCGCTATTGGCGCGAGTCCGGCGTGGCCTTCGTCTTTCCGGAGTACGAGCAGTGCAAGCCCAACAAGACGCTGGCTGCCGGATTGGTGCGCAACGGACGTACCTTTCTGAACCGCGGCTATGTGGGCGACATCCAGACAGGACCGTTCTGTGGCTTCGGGTTACGCAGTACCGAGGAGCGCATGCATCACTCAGTGCACGGGGACAACGACTACCGGGCCACTGATGTAACCGAGCGGAATCTCATGGAGTTCTTCCACGAGCTTCAGACGCAGACAGCCTACGAGCACGATCCCACACGCTCTCGCCGCTATGGATCGGTTCACCTGCTGATGACCCCGTTGCTCAACCACCAGGAGGTGGATGCCGATGGGCAGGCTAGCTACGACCGTCCCTGGATTCCAGTGCCAGGAGTAACCGTACACTATATGTCGCCCGCAGAGATGCTGCAGCTGCAGCAGGGCGCTCCTCGCTGGAATAACATGTTTGATATCGCATATGTGGCCTACAACTACTTTACTTTCCTGAGTCCGGCTTTCTTCCAAGCTCTCCGCGCGCAGGCTCTCATGGTGCTGGAAACAAAGCTTATGACGGTGGAGCGCAGGGAGCAGGTGCAGGACTACGAGGCCAAGGCCAAGGAAATCCTGAAGCAGGCTGGTCTGAAGGCGGTCATCAATTACCAGGCTATCAATGCCAAAAACATGCTGCTTAAATACAAAAAGACTGACAAGGAGGAAGTGGAAGATGCAGCCGAAGATGAGGCTGAAGTTGATCCTGAAACTGAGCCCCCAATCGAGTACAAAGTAGAGGCTCTAACGCTTGAAGAGATTGTTGTAGAGCCAGAAACTGGAGAAAAAAGCCATAATGCAGATCTTGAAGATACACTCAAAGAAGAGCCTTCTATTGAAAGCGAGACACACAGCCTAGAAGAGATTAAACCAGAAACTAATCAAGTGGACATGGATTTACTAGGTCTTGGAGAACCTACCTCGAATCCAGAGCTTCATCAGGAAATGGAAGATTCCACTTAATAAGCCAATTAAATAAAGCACAAATTTAAGCAATTATAACGTGTAACTTTAATTGTTTCTCTGCTTTTTCTTCTGCTTTCCCGTCGCCCAAGTGTCCAGTTGAAACTCCATGCCCTCCCGACGCTCTCTCAATTTCTTTGGTGTCCCAAAAGATGAAGCTTTCCGCCGATCATCCACGTAGTCCAACAAATGATCGACCCGTATGTTGAGCTTCCTAGCCCGCGTCCCCATCGACCATTGGTCTCTTTCCTTTCGCTGCTGAAACTCCGAGTCTTGGACCACCTTTCGTCGTGGCACATGTTTCAGCGCCGCTTCCCAGTCGCCGGTATTCTTCAGATCCAGCATAATGTTGATCATCTGATTGAGGGTAAGGGATTTTCCCGATCCGGAGCCCCATTGCAGGTAACGATCCAGGGGTAATCTCGCCATGCGCAGACCCATACGCTTGGCCTTGGCCAGAGACAGCGGCTCGTTGTTCATTGTGTCGACCATGGCGCCTACGATGTAGACGTCATCCGGATTGTATGTGACCAGATCCTCGCGGCAGTGGGGCGTTAGGTAGACCAGATTTTGCTTGGGGAACAGCTCTGTGAAACACTGCGTGTGCACGTTCATCGGGAACTCTGGATTCAGCATGGTGGGTATGAAACGCTTGAGGCCCTGCATGCACGAACCCTCCATCTGGGCGTTGCAGAAGTGCAGGTCGAAGGGCTCGTCATTGAGACGGTTCTCTGCGAAGCACAACATTAGCTGCTTGGCAGCATAGGTCGCCTCCCGGCGATTCATGTGGCTGTCGTAGGAGCAGTCCATCACCATTTTAGGGGCAAACTGCATGGCCCTGGTCAGCCGGTTGTTCTGCCAGTGATTGATTGTGGAGTCGTAGATTCGTAGGAACATGGAAGTGTGGCCCAGGCCGTAGATAATGTGAGTGTTCTCCTCCCGCTCCTTTCGCACCTCCGCCAGCCGCTTTTCAGTGGCCTCTGCCCGCTGTGCCTTCTTTTGTTGCTCCGACTCCTTCTTCATCTCAATCTGCCACAGATAGGCAAAGTACTTGATGCGCGCCGACTTTGTGGGCAGAGTCAGCACGTGCTCCCAGTGGTGGTCTTGCATGAAGCTCAAAGCCGGCACCCGGCGGCCTTCCTGGTGCGCTATGTCCACCTCCAGTTGCAGCACCTTCAGTCGCTTCTCCCGGTCTTCCTTGGACTCCTCTATAACAGCAGGTGTAGCTGGTGCCGCAGGTATCGCCTGGGAAAATGGATTGACGTACTTCTTCGAGTGATCCTCCGGCCCGGCGAACGATTTTTCTGCGGCATCTGACGCATGTCGCATTGATGGGGCGGCAGCTCGGAGCAGCTGGTTCCCCAGGCGCCACCGTGAAAGGGTTTTCAGCATTCTTTGAACCGTTTAATGGCAGTTATTGTGTAAATCAATTTGTGGTAAACATTAAATAACAAGCACAAGGTACTAGTGCTGCCAATTCTAGGAAAAGGTCCGGCAACCCCAATGTCTTGTGAATTTAAAGTCTGGCAGCCCCAAATTACTTGAGTTCGAAAAGTCTGGCATTGCCAGTAGCTTGAGAGTGTATCGATACTATTTTTACCGATATCGTATCATTATTAAAATCAAAGGTTTTGCATCTCTAAGAAGCGGCTTCGCCGACAAATTTTAGAAAAACGTGTAAAAAAGTTAATTAAATAGCTATATTACGCGATCGGCAACAGAAACACATACAGCAATGGCTTTGGTTTGCGCACGTAAGTTCACAAAATGCCCTTCGAAGGCACTTCGACTCATGATGCGCTTTTTTCGTTGCAGTCTCAAACGAAGTGCCAGAGACTCCCGTGGTGTCCCCGCATTCGGGCGCCGTTTTCGAGAAGCGGGTTATTGAAAAGTATCTGCTAGAGAACGGTTGCGACCCGATTAGCGGCAAGGAGCTGAAGGTGGAGGAGCTGATCGAAATCAAGACTCCGGCTGTAGTGAAGCCGAAGCCGCCGAGCGCCACCAGCATACCGGCTACGCTCAAGACAATGCAAGACGAATGGGACGCGTTGATGATCACCTCGTTCACACAGCGCCAGCAGCTGCAGACAACGCGCCAGGAACTATCGCACGCTTTGTACCAACACGATGCCGCCTGCCGTGTGATTGCGCGACTAAACAAGGAGGTGGCTGCCGCCCGTGAGGCTCTGGCCACGCTCAAGCCTCAAGCGGGCATTGTGAATGCTCCAACGGCGATTCCACAGCCGGCTTTGGCTTCTGAGGCCGGCGGGGCCGCTGCCCATCCTATGGAGCAGGCGGGAATGAGCGCCGAGGTTATACAGAAGCTGCAGGACAAGGCAACCGTGCTGACGCAGGAGCGCAAGAAGCGCGGACGCACCGTGCCCGAAGATCTGGTCACACCCGATCAGGTTAAGAGCTTCCTCACGGTCGCCTCGCATCCCGGTCTGCACTCGGCCTCGGTCCCCGGCATTCTGGCCCTGGACATCAACAGCGCCGATCACAGCAAGATTTTGACCGGCGGCAACGACAAGAACGCAACAGTTTTCAACAAGGACACCGAGCAGGTGGTGGCCATTCTTAAAGGTCACACTAAGAAGATCACCAAAGTCATTTATCACCCAAACGAGGATACAGTCATCACTGGATCACCAGACATGAACATCCGCATCTGGCACGTGCCCACCTCACAGACGCAGCTGCTCCTGCGTTGCCACGAGGGCCCGGTTACGGGCCTCTCCCTGCACCCCACTGGCGACTACTTGCTCTCCACCTCATCGGACAAGCACTGGGCTTTCTCGGACATACGCACAGGCCGTCTGCTCACCAAGGTAATCGATACGGCCGAGGTAGGACTCACAACGGCACAATTCCATCCCGACGGCCTGATCTTCGGCACGGGCACCGTGGACTCGCAGGTCAAGATTTGGGATTTGAAGGAGCAAAGCAATGTGGCCAATTTCCCTGGCCACACGGGCCCCATTTCGGCCATTTCGTTCTCGGAGAACGGTTATTATCTGGCCACCGCCGCCGATGATGCCTGCGTGAAGCTGTGGGATTTGCGAAAGCTAAAGAACTTCAAGACGATCCAGCTGGACGATGGGTATGAGGTGAAGGATCTATGCTTTGACCAGAGTGGCACCTACCTGGCAATTGCAGGCACCGATGTCAGGTGAGTTGCAAGACTTATCCAAAAGGTTTTTTCATATTTGAAAAATGTATTCTGATTAATTCATTGCACATTTAAGTTTTAAGCTGTTATTTGTTGCATTCAATAGGTAGTTAGACCCTGTTCTTCTTTCGCTGCTCCACCTGCAGCCGATGGTGCTTCTTGAAATGTGCCATCCAGTTGTGCAGGCGGTTCTGTTTAACCAAAGCCCGACGCGACATCTCCTTCTCGGCAGCCATGCGCCGACGTACCTGCTGCTCCACGCTGCGCAACTTGTTTGGTTCTATGTGATCCAACTTGGCCAAGAGATCCTGTGATTAATCATTCGTATATACAATGTATTTAGAGGAAAGTGCAAGGATTGAGCTTACCAGAACATGGGCTTGTATTTTCTCCACCTTGGCCAGCGTCGTGTCCTGCTCGTCTTCGTAAGTGGACTTGGGCGGCAGTGGTGGAGCTTGCATATCCTCCAGAGTGCGCCACTGCTTGGATGATTTCTTTGCCACCGGCTTAGGCGGCAGCTCTGCCACCTGTTTCTTCTGCTCCGGCTGGACTTTGTTCTGGATTTGCTTCAGGATCACAGGGACAATGCTCTTTAGCTTGATGTTCAGCTTGCTGTGAGATATAAATGAGTTATAAATTGAAAATACAAGATCAAAGCTATCTGAACTCACTCCCTGCAGTAGCTGTGCTCGAAGTCATCCAGCAGTGCCTTGGCGCGCTCCTGCAGACCAGCCACACGTCGCTGCAGGAAGGCCGGATCCTTGAGGAACACATTGGCTTTTACTTGTCGCTCGTACGTCTTCTGGGACCTGTCGTGGAGAATACCCACTATATGGTTCAGGATGGCCAGATGTGTGAAGCGCCTGTTGTAGTTGGAAACCTTCATGCGGTTCCTCTCGTAGCCACGAATCCAGATCTCTGCGTTGAGGTGATTTCTTTTGGCTAGATATGGTCGCACTACCTTCTCCATATAGGCCTGGACTTGGCGCACCTGTTCCAACCCCGCCGGATGCCTTTCGGTTATCTCCATGTTTGCAATTTCGGGTGGCATTACGAGCCCATTACTCTCGCCTTCCTCCTCCACGGTGTCGTCAAAGTAACTTATCAGCTTGAGCAGATACTGAAAGCGGCCGTAGACCTCCTGCACTTCCATCAAGACGCGCTGGTGCTCCAATTTTACCTCGTTCAGCTCCTCTGCCACCTTGCTCTCTTTCAGTGCCTTTAGTTTCTCCTGGGCTTCGAGCATTTTCTTAAACTCCTCCGCCTCCAACTTTTTGAGTGAATCCTCTGCAAACTTGTGAAACTTTTCAGCCTTCTCGTACAGACTGTCCTGGTGCTCCTTCTCTCGTTTTCTGTCCAAGAAGAGTTCTTGAGTGGCATAGTACATGAAACGGTTGCGCGTGATCTCTCTCAGAAGTAGAATGTCCCTGAAACGTAGGAAATCGTTATTGATTGCATTGTTTTCTTGAATACCTTACGTTTTCATGCGAAACTTCCTGGCCAGACGCTGCAAACTTGCATCTTTTATGTAATCGGGATCGATGGTGGTAACCACACAAGGAGCACGAGGATTGGCAATTTCACCGCGCTAGGAGGAAATGGATCATTGAAGGAAAGCTGAGACCTATACATAATGTTTTCCTACCGCATTGAAATCCTCGATGGTTAAATTGATAGGCTTCGGTGGTTCCGGCTCCACATGGGTCTTGGGTCTCACAAATTCTAGTTGAGCACAGGATTAGTGCTAAATAGGCTTGTCTCCGTATTAAACTTACTTTCATATTCGCGATAGACTTTTCGCTTGAATTTTCGCATATTCCTGCAATGATTTTCTCTGGAGAACTTTGTTGTTCTGTTGCTAAGTCTATACTAACCCTGCCTCCTATTTATTTCTAGGGTCTACCTGTGCAAACAATGGCAGGACTTGAAGGTATTCAACGACCACACAGCCCTGGCAACAGGCGTTCGGTTCGGCAAGCACGCGCAATATCTCGCCTCCACCAGTATGGACCGCACCCTAAAGCTATATGCCATCGAATAAACGCTTGCAGGAGTCCAGATATTTAGTTATTAAGTCAAAAATCTGATTTTCTTTTCCTCGATACTTATATCTTAATTAATGTGAACAAAACTTGCAGAATAATAAACACCTGACCCTCTTTATCTAAAATCTACTTCAAATTATTAAAAACTGAATTCGAAGCAAGTTAAAGATATGAAAATTCGAATTTTCTACCATTTTAGATACATATTTAATTAATTATTTATGCAAACACTTATAAATATATTCAGTTCGCCATCTTCTATGTATATCGCACAACGCATTATCTTTACGAGGCAGAGATCTGCTTCAGCGGTCGCTCCAAATACGAGGCCAGCGACATGGCCTTTTGCTTCAGCAGGCCCAGTCCCACAGTCTGCTTGGCATACAAGCACAGCAGCACACTGGCCACCTGCAACAGAATGAGTAAGTATTGATTCAACTACGAGATTGATTAAACCACGCACCTGGGTGATGGCCACATGACCGTTTTCGCAATCGATCAGTACAAAGGTGAGGCGGTCCTCGCGAAATGCATTCCTCCCGTGCTTCTCGTATGCCGCCCATATGTTGCTGGCAATGGCGGCCGTAATTCGGGCATCCTTGTCGCCGTACCCGGAGTAGGCCAGGAGAGCACCCTCCTGGCTAAGCAGGCTGTGGAAAGTGGGTACAATTGTAATTGCTGGATCCTTCCAGGTGCGGGTAACTTACAGTGTGTTCTCCACGCCCCCAGTGTTGGCCTGGCTGAGTACCTGCGTCAAAGCTTTGGGTTTCAGCATTTTTTATGTTTTTAATGTGCAAAAGAAAGAAAAATAACAATAAAACAGCATTCACACTGCACTCCAACACGTACAGCTGATAAGCTGAAGGCGTTGCGGTGTGAATGACACTTCGATAGGCGGCAAATTTGAATTTTTAAATATAAGCACAACATGCCGACAAGGCCTTGTGTTATGTTCTACATTGGTATTTATGTTGTTGGTTATAAAGAATATACATATTTATATATATAAATACTTACCACCAATTCGAAGGTTAATAAAAGAATATAAAGTAATACAGATTAGACATTTTAATTAACAAAACAAACTCTAAACAATTCGAAGGTTAATAAAAGAATATAAAGTAATACAGATTAGACATTTTAATTAACAAAACAAACTCTAAACATACGCTTATATATAGATTTTAAGAAATGATCCATGCGAATATGTTCTGATGTCAAAAGTTGGTAATGGTAGTATGTATATGTATATGCAGCGCCTTATTGGAATAATACCTACTTAAAATATTAAAAAATTATAATAATAAAATTGTAAGCCACATATAAATTTAGTTAGTTTTTAAAAAGGTTTTGGATCGCCTTATATTTCCTACATTTATGTCTCGCTAAGTACAAGATTGTCCTAAGAATGAATTTATCCTAGATTTCCTTTCCTTATGGATGACTCAAATTGAGGCGCATATCTCAAAATATACATAGGGTTTCTTTTAATTTTATTTATCGCTGCCCCACTCAGCATTAGAACCGTAGGCAATAAAATTATATTTGACTTTAAGCCCATATAACTTCCAGCTCAGTGGGAATTTGTAGGCGTAATCGGTGACGTCATGGCCAAAAACCAGGTCACGGACCCATGTATTACGCAGCAAAAACTGCACTCTCCCCCACCCCCAGGGCAGCGTGATGCATCAGCGCGCTCCGCAGGGTCAGAGCAACAGTCGTCGCCGTCTTCTTTTCAACCACCGGATTTGAAAACGCTTCATTGCCCCGAATACCTGTACTTTGGTGCTGCTACGCAGTTAGCCGAAAATCATGGCTACTGGCAGGGTGCATTTTCGGATTGCAAATTGCGCATGACTCAGCGGAGCCATTCTGCTCCATCCCTTCGAGGACTTGCAAAGCCATGAACGTGCCGAAACGAAAACTAGGTCATTGACAACTACGCCGCGGACAATGCGATGTGTGCCAGGATGCGGATGGTACGGAGACAATAGAGGCGATGCCGAGTGATGGTGTTGCATTATAAATTTATTTATTAACTTAGAATCAACCAAATTTTAGTCTTGGGTAATAATATATAATCCGAGCAAACCGACGTTCGCCACGGGGGCTGGCAGTACCGTACGCACTGCATTGGTACAATGATATAGCAATAATGATGGAGAGTCTTATGTTAATTAAATATTACTACCGCTAAGTATTATGTACACTTTGACAAAAATACATCGGGGGGTTGGCTTTGGGGGCCCCCTCTATATGACATTGTTTGGTGTAGCCTTCCATATTGGTTCGTTTTGCGTGTAAAGTGGGCAAGGGGGTGTTGGGTTTTTAAAGAAGGGTGAACAATTTTCAGGGCCGTGTTATATGGCGAGTGAGTTGGGGACGACCTGGTTGGTAGTGAGATACTGTAGGGTGTTAGCGGGTGTAGCTTGGATGATTGGGTGTGGGGTGCGCTGGCTGATCTGTAAGCTGGAGTTTAGAATACATACGCATGGCCTGTCTCTGGCTGTTGTTCCGCTAGCTAAAATTAATTACAATCTTATTTACATGCTTAACATGTCCTTCGCCTATCCATCCTTCTTTCGAGTCTACGAAATATCAAAATATGTATGTGTACAACTATAAATGTCCTTCGTATTCGATCACAGCGCGCGCTCTCAATGTGAAACAAAACTTTTTTAAACAATAGTAACGAAAAGTTCTGCAACTGAAACAGATTCATGGCGGCGAGACGAAGCTCTGTCCGCTCTTTGTCCACTTCTTCGCCTTTTATTTTTGTGGGAACAGGGGGACGGGGGCGGGGGCACGCCTATTGCGTTGTGGAGCGGGCGCGTTTCGGGTTCGAGTACAGCGAAAATAGGATTGACGGGTCCTGCTGGTTTTTATCCATCAGCTTTCGTCGTTGTGGCGGCAGACGTTCAGCGAAACGCTTCGGAATACCGGCACTAAGAAGCGTCTTTCTGTCGTACAAGTCCAGATTGTCGTTGTAGTAGGTAATGGCGTCCCAGCACATCTCGCTCAGCTTGGGCACCGTCATCCACATCTTGTAGAGGTCCTTGCGACGACGCATCTCCTTGTCGTTGTACTCGATGCCGCCGAACACGTACATACACCCATTATCCGAGTGGGCCGCCGAATGGAAGTACAGGGGACGCGGCAGGGTGGCAGTCTCGATGCGGAACCACTGCTTGGTGCGCAGATTCAGCTTCCAGATGTCCGAGAAATACGTAGAGAAGTCGCCCTGCAAATGCAAAATCATCTTCAGTATTAGAAACTTTTCAACACGTTTCTTTTATCATAAAAACTTACCTGCAGTCCGCCTGTGATAAAAGCCTCGATATCTCCATTTGAGGACTGGTGCTGCACACAGGAGAAGCACTTGCGTGGTCGCGGATAGCCTCGGTTGCCATCATCCATGTCAGCTGTACGCCGATCTGGATGGGTATCAAAGTAATCCCAGCAGTTCGCTCCAAGATTATAGGCCGGAATACGCTGCAGATCGTAGACGGAGTGCGATGTACCTCCACCCAACACAAAGATGTGCTTGCCATCGTAGACGACCTCGTGACGATAGCGTCCTTCCGGATCATCGCGCATCTCGGGGCGACTAATATACACATTCTCCCACTTACGGGTCTGCAGATCCAAGCGATACACATCACAGGTGTAGTCGAAGCCCGTCGTTCCGCCAATTGTGTAAAGGAAGTGTTTGTGGATCACTATACCCGGCCCGTACTGGGCTGTAGGCAATTCACCGGTGACCTTAAGCCGTTCCACACCAGGTGTCGCGCCAGCACTTGCCGTGCGATAAACGTAGCAGTCGTTGGAGCAGGACTCTCCAAAAGGATATCCAGTGCCGCCATGAGACTGAAAAGGGGATGAGATGAATTATTAATTGAGTGCCTTGAGTTATCTTATTAAATATTAAATTTTATGGCTTTTGGGCTTTAAAGAGATAAAGTAGTGATTTGTTGCTAGCTTAGTAATTTATAATGTTAATGGCTTTAAATGTAAGAGTATTAAATTTCAAATAGAGATCAAGTAACGGTTTTTTCTGAAATTAAGTAATTGAATCTATTCGAAAATTGCCTAGACTGTTCATTTATTTTCTGTCCTACGCATATTTATGTACATATAGTATATGCATATAATCCATATATAGGAAGTCAAGCGGGTTGCATTCACGCCCCTGACATTGCATTCAATTAGCAGATACTTGAGCAGCAGCTTATCAACGCCATGGAGGAGGAGTACACAGAGAAATAGTTGGAGGAGGAGAATCAGCAGCAGAACAGAGGCTGAGCTGCAGTACAGATAAGCGGAAACATGTGTCTCCAGTGTGTGTGTTTTTTTTTTGTTTTTGTTGTTGTTTTTGTGGTGTGTGTGAGTATGTACATATGTAAGTATATATGTATGTATATCGGGGCATGATTCGTCATCAAATTATAGCTAATTGTGGAATGCATTGGGGGAAACCAAGGGAAACCAGCATAAAATGCCAACAGCTGCCGTTTGGTTTTGCTTTCAGTTTTCCTCAATTTTCCTTCACAACTAGCCACCTCTGCCCCGCCAGAGCTTCCACTCAGAAAAAGCGCGCGCGCTCAGCTGGCTGGCTGTTTGGATAAAAAATGGTAAATACAATGTTTTCAGTTTTTCCAGCACGAGCGAACGAGCCAGCAAGCGAGCGAGCGAGGTGGGGAAAGCTGGAAAACAAGTTGTTGCATGCGGCAGCAGCATAAACAACAACTGCGTAGTAACGAAAAGTGGAAAACAAAACACGACGGCCAAAGAGGGTTGCCTGGCATGCGCAGAGTCGAAGGGGAGGCCCAGGAGGAGGTGGTGGTGGTGGCACACTGGGACTGGGACTGGGACTGCCATTGGGGAAAGAGTGAGAGGCAAATGGCAATGGCCATGGGCAGCTGTTTGGGTTGACATTTCGGGTGTTTAGAATGCATAAACAAAACGGCAGAGGCGAAGGCAAAGCCAGGAGAGGTGCTGGGTCTCAGAGCTGGGCGTGGCATTGGCCCTGGCAATTCTCCGATTCCCTCGATATCTAGTGCCCAGAATAACCCTCTTTCTCTCCACGCTCTCTCTTCCGCGCGATCAGCTGTGTGTGATTTCTTCCTCTCTCATTTCACTACAAATTCAATTGTATTTTCTCAACTTTTCAAGCACAAACAAGTTTTCATTTGCAATCGATGGTTTTCGCTTTCGTACACAAAACAAAAAGAAATTGATCACTGGGAAAGCTTATATTATATGACTACTAAGACATTTGATCAATGCAAGAAAAAAAAGGTTGGGCCTTAAATTTTCAAAGCAATAGCTTTTGATCTATTACATCTATTACTTCCTTCATAAATAAATGATTATATTTTGTATTCTGATTTACAAACACTAAAAACCAATTGGGTTAGAATTACCCAATAAAATAAATAGAAAGAACACTGATCTTAAGCTGGGATCCTTTCTTTCAGTGCTATCCAACACAAACATACACACACATATAGAGAGAGATGCCACGAGAGAGAAACAATCAAACTCGCTCATCTATTTTCGTCTGCTTAACCGTCCCTTCTGCCCCTCATGCACATCTTCAACCGCCCCGCCTCCCCATTTAGATAGGCCCCGATAGATACTCACAATCAACACGTTATTGTGAATGGTCAACGCATTGGAGGCCAGCTCGACAGGCATATTGCTGGCATTATCCGCATTCAGCTCCAGCTTCCAGGTGCGGGTGGCAAAGTTGAAGCTCCACAGCTCCTGGAATAGCAGGCAATGGCCGCGGCGGGAGGCACGCAGGGCGCTGCGCGGATTGTAGCCGCCGAGCGAGTACAGGTGCGAGTTGGAGGCGATGATGCGATGGCCACTGCGCTCCAGCGGGAATCCGCCCTTGCAGTGTTTCTTGTACTGGCATTTGACCAGACGCAGCGGCTGGAAGGCATAGTTGGGACATGGCTGCTGATCCATCGGATCATTCGGGGATTGGTAGGCCTTTACCACGCTCTTCGAGCTCTCCTTGTCCTCCTCTAGCTCATCGCTGGAGCTGGTCATATCATCAGAGTACATATCCTCGAACTCCGGGTCCGAATCAGTGTCGCCATAATCCACGTCCACATCGTCGTCGTCTTCGTCCTCCTCCTCGTCATCCAAATCACTGGCTGCATCCATGGGCTCGCCCACACCTTCATACACTTGCAAGGCAATGAATTCCGCCTGATTTCCTGGCAGTAGGTCGGGAAGAAACTGCGGTGGCGGCTGCTGCTGCTCCTCCTGAACCTGGTGGTCCATTCCCTCCTCCGGCAAGTCCTGCTCCATGATCACTTCGTTGTTATTATTGTTGTTATTGTTGTTAAGCGATGGCTCCAGCTGGTCTGAGGAAGGCCGTGGACGTGGAAGTAGGGGTAGGCGGAGAAGTGGCCGCAGCAGAGTCGCCACAAACAATAGAAACGTCCAAGTGTGACGCAGTTGGTTAAACACGATGCACTTGAGCTTGTCTGGTTTTAGTATGTTCATAACACGCTCAGTGAGGTAACAAGTAACGAACAATTTTGGACTCTATTCTCTCCTGTCTCCCGTCTTCTGTTGTTTTGTTTTACTTTTTATTTTTTGCTCTTATTCCGCCAAATAACCGAAAATTTGTTCAAAATTTGTGTTGTTTCTTTTCTAATTCGTTTTTGTCAACGGGAGAGAGGGAAAACACGACCTCGCACAGCTGGCTGGCTATATTTCTGCTGTTGTTGTTTTTGTTATGGTGGATTTTGATTCTGCTGCTATTGTTGTTGTTTTCGTTGTTGTTGCTGCTGTCATTTTGACACTCGCTCTCGCTCACTCACACATGCACGCACGCACATGTGTTGTTACGTGGTGTGAAAATGTACACACCAGGCTTTGTGGGTCTGATAATACCGATTTGGGTAATGCAATTTCACTAGTTGTGGCACTGGCGGCGAGTTGCTTAATTTAATATTGCAGTGTTTGAGGACGTCCGCGCCCGCTGTGATAAACTACGCTTTAAAATAGGGTTGTTGAAAATATATCAATATATCGATAGTTTTCTCGAAATGATATATTTATATCGTGATATATTGTTTAACAAAATATCGATGTTGCGTTATTTTTGTTGATATTTTTTATTTATATACTCAATGATGGTATTAACGTTTTCAAAAACTGCTGTTACTTTAAATTGTACATCTTAAAATTCTAGGTAACCATTTTACACGTTTACAGAATTCTCATGTAGGATGTAAAAATAGCGTAAATTAAAAGAATTCTATCTCGTTGGCTGTCGGGTGAGCCTAATTAAAAAAATTCGCTCTAGTTGGCTGTCAGGTACAAGGCTGCCAATCCAGCTTTTTTCCCGCAAAATCTGTCTATTTTGGAAGATCCGACGATATTTTCTTAAAAAATATTCGACAGCCCAACTTTAAATTGGGAAATAATCGAGTGTGACCGTAGTAGTTAAATTAAACCGGGCAATGTTGAAACACTTTAAATTTAATTCTATGCGTTAAATACTGAAAATGCCAAAACAAATCTGGTCAATTCCAAAAAAAGAAGATAAGGAAAGGGAAAGCTCAAATTTGTATAACAAAATTTATTATCATTTTATTATATTATTAATATCGAAAACATTTGTATCGACTTAAACCCACAGAAATACGTTATATTATAAATGATACAAAACAATTAATTTGGCCTATTATTATAAATTTGTTGTGATCCAATTGAATTAATTTTAAATTAAACAAAACGTTATAATTCATTGCTTCTGTATGTTAGGATTCACACTATTATTATTTAAAATATTATAATTAGTAAATATAAAATGATAATATTAATTGATTGTTGAGTTTATTTAAGTGAATTCTGAATTGTTTTATTTTCAAAGCTCCATCAGCTGTTTTTTTGTAATATGACCATAAAGCTTTCTGCCCCTTCGATAACTTTCCGGTATCTTCACGAAGCAGCACTCGGCCACATTGCGATTCGACAAAAGTATAAGACCGACGGTCGGCACATATTTTCAATACTATTTGTTATTTCGCTTCGACTTGTGTAATATTAATGCGGTGTCAACTCGTAAACAGAACGCTGTGCTACTATAAAACGAATAAACTTTGATATCGCCCAATTTTTCGGATGCGGCACGGATTCAAACAGTCTGACGCTGGCCCCTTTGGTCGCTGTTGGTGAATCTCTATATTCCAGTAGTTGTCGGCTTTCCGCAACTGCAGTGTCCCGCGCAATCGCTGGGCATGATTATCCACGCGAGTTCGACTTTTTGAATTGCAGAGCGTAGTCTGTAAGGCCAAGAATTGGATTTCCCCACCCCACCCAGAAGACCGCACCGAGTCCTCGCAGGAGCAGCACCGAGCGTTGCTCCCAATTCGCAGACAGGCATAACCTAAAAAGGCACGTGCACCGTGTGCCAGCTGCAACGTAGAAGAGTTTTCTGCGTGCCACCACACACAGTCAGTCGGCTCCTCTCCGACAAAATACCGAAGACATGGCCACGACAGCCAACCAACTACCACCTGCCGTCACACTCCTCAACGGACAGCAGTCGATGATGGCCACCAGCAATGGCCAGGAGCAGCAGCAGCAGCAGGAGAAAGAGCAAGAGCAGCAGGTTGTGATCAGCAAGTCCACCTCACCGAAGCCCGGAGCCATGCCCAGCCTCAAGTTGATCAAAATGGGTTCCGTGTCCCAGAAGGAGAAGCGTGTGTACAAGATTGTCCTAACTGGCGGTGAGTTATGCTCGTTTTTCCAGGCAGCCACAAAATCTGGCTTTTGTGTATCTGTTACAAGTGTCCGAGTATCCTCGTATCTTCGCATCCAGGGCCCACCCCCGAATTCCGATTTGTTTACGATTTGTGTCAAGGTCGTTGTCGCTCTGCGATTGAGGGGTAGAGATTGTGTCCTGCGCGCAGCTTCTTCCCCGCCACGCGGATTCTCACGGTTCGGCCTTCCGTTTCCCCTCCCCATTTCCCCCACCTGGCTAGCGGGATAGGAATAAATTTTGTATTCATTATGCACAGCTACTGCGGCTACCGGCGTTTTTCAAAGCCCCCCGCGCTGCCTGACGTATGTAAAACGCCGCGAGCCACCATAAAACCAGTTTTTTTTTGGCCCGGGCCATCACCATCATATGAGCAGTGGTTGGGCGCGTGGTCTAATCATTTAATTTGGCTCAAGTTATGGCTGTGATTAGAAGCCCCACAAAAACAAGTATATGTACATATAGCATTGATGTATTGGCGGGCCTATCTCTCCTATATACGTATATTGCTTGTCCCTGTGCATTATCGCTTTCGTTTTGGGCTGACTTCCTCCACCCAGAAAGCTAATAATTCTGTGGTGACGCGTTAAAGGAAGCAGAGAGGCGGGCTGGCTTACTGATAAATGACAGGCCCCATCGCCACGTGGGGAGGCGGGTACTCAATAGAAAGTTCCCACTAAATTCTCATTCAAAGAATTGCTTATCGGTTAGATGGGGGGTTCTTTTCTTCATTCTTTCAAACTGTCTGGCTCTTTTTGAGTGCACTCCGGATCGATTTCCCCTGATCGGTGAACAGTGCATCGACCGTGATGGCCACCAATGGGCGTAATTGTTGTCAGGGTCGGGCTGCGCTAAGCTAATCAACCAACAGTTCGAGACTGCAGCTGACTCACTGGTATTTGGGGCACAAGTCTTTACACATTATTTCCTTCTCGTCAATCCAAACAATGCACAATTAAGGGAAACTGAAGGTTGAACTTACGTCGTAGGTTTCTTATCTTAAAAAGAAATGAGTGTTGGCATTACGATTAACTTAAACTTGAAGAACTCCAAATTTGGACAACAAAAAAGTATTAAAATATTCTTTAGTCATCATGAAATTAATTAAATAAACTTGGCAATTTATTTTCTTCGATTTAAATTACAGTTTATATCAAATTACGGATGTTTATTCTCTTTAATAATGGTTTTAACCTAATTGAATATATCATTGAATATCATTTCTTTATTTAAAACAAGTTGTAATAATCTTAAATGTAATCAAGGAATATCACGTGTGTTACATAAAATTTAAGTTATAAAATAGCACATCTTGCCCCTGTGTTTGTACGAAATTTAACCTTAACCTGGCTGCAAATAAATAATAAGAATAACATTACATTATTATTATATTATACATTTTCAGGGCCCTGTGGCGGCAAGACGACGGGCCAGTCCCGATTGTGCACCTTCTTCGAGAACCTTGGATGGAAGGTGAGTGTCGTGGGGATGCAATGGGATGGGATGAGACAACGTGGGCTTTCAGGAGGGGATCCTGAGCCGATCCTAGTGTAAGTGGTGCCCCAGCGGAGGCGGGCGACGTCGGAAGAGGATGATGAGGAGTAGCATTACTTTTAGATACTCCCTCCTCTCTTAACATTTCTATTGCCCCCTGAAAAGCGAAACAAAGCAATGAGCATGTTAAATATTTTCAGGTATTCCGCGTGCCTGAAACGGCCACTGTTTTACTCAGGTAAATGCTCTCTCCACACACTTAATTACACTGAAAAAATACTAAATAAAAAAAAACTAAAGTAAAAAACAAGCTAAGCGCGGCACTCAAGGCGAAAGGAGCCACTCAAGGAGGCTGCCACCTGAGATGGGCCCCAAGTAGCTTTGCCTGCCTCTCGTCTTCTGCCTGAGACGATCACCGTATTTATTCCGAAACAGATTAATTCGAGTCTCGTTGCTGAATAACTCTCCTTTTGCCTAGTGAATACCAATAGATATTCCACGAACAGATGCTAATCCCTCTTCTTTATCTTCTCTCTGTTTCTTCCCCCAAACATCTAAACCCTAGTGGCGGCGTGAAGTTCTCCGACCTGACCGAGAAAGAGGGTAAGTAGTGAAAGAGGTGCTCCTACCGAACGAAAGAACCGAGAGATGAAGTTGGCTAGGAGCGGAGCAGAAGAGTGAGGAGTCTTACATTGCAAGCATTTTCCGAGCGAACAGGCACACACTGTCAAGTTCGGGGCAGAGGCTGTGTGCGGTTTCTCGAAACAACGAAAATAAATCAAAATATTTACTTTCCGAGGAGAGAGCGAGACGACCAACCACAAAGAATCCCTATACTATACATGCTAGGGGTATTTTTAAAATCGGCAAGTGCGACAGCCGCCATTCTACATAGATAGTATAGATGAGTATATCTAGTCTATATCTTTGAGTATATATAGTTAGTCGGCGGCCCCCGCCAAAGTCACGTCTTCAATGAGACCTTACGTAATGGCGTTGGACATGGTACGATTCGAATTCCTACTCGATATCCTGATTGCGTGACTCGAGGCCATTTCACTTGCAATTGTCTTCCTTTTAACTCGCGCAAACAATTTGTCAATTATGGTTATTAATGGATTCGCCAACTCGCAGCGCAGGGGGTTGCCAAGAGCAGGGACTGTCTTTAGATTGCCAAAAGCACTAGCCGATAAGATATATAGATAAGAAAGTGGCCAGTTCTGATCACATGTCTGTCGATTTCCTGTCGCAATTCCTTGCAAAGCCCGGGCTATAGGGACAAATTTGGTTCTTAATGAGTCACTCGACAACCGACAGCTGACGACTGGGGGAGGGGGAGGAGCTGTAACCTTTGGCGAGGGCTAATCTAATACCCACTCACACCAAAACAAAACAACCAACCACACGCCACCACACTCACAGACCCGCCCACGCCAACCACGTTCGTTTACAAAGATCTGCCCTTCGCCGCTCCGGAGCACAGTCTCATCGATCTAACCGCATCCTGTCCGCGCTGCTTGGCCAAGGCTGCATCCCGGCCGAATGGCAGCGAAGGTGAGTTGCGACACAAAGGAGCCACAGATCGGTTGTTACATTTAAACATATGTATATCCTTCTGTTCTGCAAAAGCTGCGCAAACCGCTCTAACCGAACCGCGTCCAAGTCCAGTCTTCTGCTGTTTTTAACCTGCGTCCTTGAGCTGCTTTATTATTATTTCAAATATAAAATGCATTTCGTCAACCCGGCATCGGCA